TCAGGCTTGAAGTCCGAGACTGTCATCTGTATTGGGTACGTGTGGATGTGTCTCCTTGGGTGTGATCCTTGCCATCTGAAGACCAGGAGGAGACAATTCACCTAACACACACACTTGCACACACAGGGCAAAACCCTTCAGCCAAAAGGAGGAGAAATAGGGGGCCTGTAACAGTTAGTGGTCCATAGCAGCTCTGAACCCAGCCAGGCACCTGTTGCTAATCACCCTGCCCAGGGCATGGTGGGAGGGGGTGTTCTCTCCCCAGGGACACCCTCCTGGGCCCGGAGCTCTGCTGTCTCAGCCAGCCTTCCTTTTCCTTAAGAAATGGCCTGGTTTTGCTGCTGTGTGGCTCTCTTCCTGCTTCCTGCTGGTCGTAGTTGGAGGGTCAGGGGCCTCTTTTTATTTTAGACTTGTGCTGTGCCTTTTAGTCCAGCATGGTACAATTCCTTTAAAACCCTTGTGGGTATCCTTTGTATCAGATTGTAATTTATTCCATTAGACAAAAGCCACCCCACAGGTCCTTGTCTGTGGTCCACACGTGCTCTCTAATTGGAAGGGTCTGTGAGGCCCTGCCTTAAATCTTTGTGTTCTCAAGATGAGGGTCCAACTGCCACAACCTTGCTGGGTCTTCATTCTGAGATCACATCCCCTGGCCTCCCTGGATTAGATCTTTGTTCTGAGGCCAGTTCTTACCTTGAGTTTTCTGCTGGCAGGAGAAGCTAGGAATGAGAAACGGTTTTTCTCATGTTGGTGTTTAAATTGGCAATATTTTCTCTAATCCTGCTGAAGACTGAACACCCTTGACTCTCCCTCCCCCCTCAGTTCATCAGAGCCAGTAGCATGGTGAGCCTTCTGCTCTAAAATCTCACCAGGTCCCGGGCTTCCCAGGCCAGCTGGCTGTGCCTCACGTTCCTGCAGACAGCAGGTCGGTGGATGGCTGTGCCGCTGCCCAGCTGGGCCACCCTTTGTCCATACTCAGGTAGCGTCTTCCTCCCTGTCCTTCTTGCCTGCGTCCACAGCTGTTCCATTGCTGCAGCCTCGGCCAGCTGCCTGGTGCCAAGCCATGGGCACATGTTTATGGATTTTACTACAGCGGCATAGTGTGCTGATTCTGTTTCTTACCTATCATTGCCTACGACCTACCACAAGACTTAGTGATTTCAGGACCACAGACAGAGCACAGCGTGGCTTCTTTCTCAGACCTCCCCAAAACACAGAACCTGCCAAGATTTCTTAATGTTTAAACCCTGTGTAGCTTGCATCCCTTCCACTCCTTCTGTTGGTTCAAGCGAGCCGCAGGTATCTCTAAGTCCACGTGGAATAATTTCCACAGGGACATGAATCCCCAGAGGCAGGGTGCACGGGGAGCCATCCCTAGAGACCAGCTGCCATGCTGGCGGTACAGCATGTAGAGAGTTATGTAAACTCTCTGCCTCAGTGGCCTCATCTGTAAAATGGGGATAATCATAGTAACTGCTTACATTGGGTTGTGAGCTTTCTCTGGGTTAATATGTGTCACGCTTTTAGAGCAGTGACAATATTGTTTTAGAGCAGTATTGTTTTGAAATAGTAAATTTTGTAAATAGATGCATAAGCCACATAAGAGTTAAAGAAAACACTAACCGCAGTGATGTCCACACTGATAGCAGGTCAGTGAGAAGCAGTCTGATGCAAGAGATTGTTTTCGAGTCTACAGAAGCGGCATCTGAAAGATAGACCAAGTATGTGCTGTGACATCCTCCCGCACAGTTTTGCCCTGGGTAACACAGAATCAAAGAGACTTAGAATCATAAGGGCCATTTGCACCCGCTGATGGGAACTGCCCGCCCATGTGTGTCTCTAGCAGAGAGCCTTCCGGCCTCTTCATCCTCTGGCGAGTGGGACCATGACTTCATGTCCTTTAAAAGTTGAATATGAACTGGTTTTAGATTTTCCATTTTCTTGGTACTTAAGTAGACAATGTATAAGTTCGGGATGCCAGAAGCATTGTAGTTGAAGTACAGGGGCTCGGTCTGATGCAGGGAGGGGCTGCCAGGACCCTAGGCTTCTCACTGCACTGATAAAAGTCTGTCCCAAAGGGGCACAGTGGGTTCGCTCTCCTTCTTGGGCATGTTGGGGGACACTCTGTTCAGAGGGGGGCCCCACCGTGGCAGAGCAATTGGAACGTTATGCTTCTGGAAGAGTCTGGGACTAAGCAGGGGCTCCTTGTATGTAGCCATGTGACGGGATGTCTCACTGGGGCTTTGCGGTGGCTCTGCGGTTCCTCCAAGTGAGGGCACATTGGAGGGGGCCTCCTCTTTCCGTATGACTCCAGAATTACGAACCAGGATTATCCAACCCCCTTCAGACAGCAGAGCACTGCTCCCGCAGCTCTGGCCATCTGGACCCATGGGCTCCCTGGCACACGGCTGCCCAGGCAGGACTAGGGGACCCTGGGCACAAATTGTAAAATAAATACTGGTCTCACAGATTTGGGGCTGAGTGGTTTAAACTCTGGGGTCTTTTTAGACTCTGAAACTCCCTGATTCCCACTTCATACAAATACTATGAAAAATCAGTGTTTGCAGTGAACTTCAGCAAAAAAAGAAAAAGAAACTAAAAGAACACATTTTCAGTCTGCAGAAGCTATTTGCTGAGTCTTGTCATTCGTCATCTGATTGAGCCTCTGATTACAGAACTTCACCTTGCAGCTGCCTCAGCTGCTCATCAGGGCAGCACGCGTCTCCTCATGACGCCTCTTAGGGTGGGCTCTTGCTATCAGTCACAGAGTGGCGGGTGCGGCTGGCGGGCCCCAACTTGGGTGCTTCGCTAAGGCAGGGAGCAGGGCAGCAGAGCGGCTCTAACAGCACAGAAATCTTGGGGGTCGGGTAATGAGCCCACCAGGGGCCTGGCCCAGAGGGTGGAGGCATGGCCCCTAGGACGCTGGGGTGTTCTTCAGCCCTGCTGACTTGTACAGCATTTGATTGTTATCAGAGATTATCCTGCAAGGTGAACCATAGGATTTATTTAAGATTGTCAAGATTTGGACATTCAGCTTTCCCAGCACTAAGATAAGTCAGCCTAATTTAGTTCCTTGACAATGTCATCTCTTCTTCTTGTCTCCTAGTTGGACTGTTCCCCTCTATCCCCTTAGGAGTAAGTCCTGGCAGCCCCCACTGGGGAGAGGATAATTGTGCATATAGGATTTGTTCGTGGACCCGTAATCTAGCCAGGAGCTGTGTAGATCCATCTGTACAGAGCCCTGGGGCTTGGGGGGGTGGGGGTGTGCAGCCTGCATTTTTGTCTGAGTGCAGATGGACAAAGCTTTCTGAAGCCTGGAGCAGCTTCCTGCTACCAGTGACACGGAGGTGACCCCCGGCCCCTGGTATTGTTGGAATTCCATCTGAAACGGATGGTGGAAAAATGGGAACCCACAGGAGAACGTCTGTGAAGTTTTGTTAAGCTAAGTTTAAAAATCTTAGAAATCTGCCAGAGAGGGAAATGTAATGATTTTAAGTGAATGCTTATTTACTGTCGAATCACCAGCAGTGACTGCCCCTCTCCCTAATTCTTACTCTGCAGGGGGACCTCGAAACACCTGGGTTTGTAACCAGCATTTTCCTTGGGGCCTGCCTCTCTTTGTTGGTCTCTGTACCATATTTGGTTTAGATTGGTTTTTCTTAGATTCTAAGAAATCAAGGTATGTTGAGCGGAGCGATGCTTGTATGTTTTCTTCAAATAATAAGAACGTGCAGAGGGATGACCTTCTGAAGGTTCACTTGTGAGTTTCTTCAAACTTAGAAATATTTTCCCCCAGAAACAATGTTTTCAGGGGTAGTCAGGCTTCCCAGCTGGCTCGTCATCCATTATACTTGTGAAAATTGGTGTAGAAAGCAATATTGTTGGAACTTGAACCTAATTATCCCGTAAAAGTGCTTCCTTGATCTTACCTTGTATTATGGTTCATGGGGGACAGCAGAATTAGGAGGTTGGGCAAAGCTGGTACACATTTGCAAGGACACTCATGGGCACCTCTTCTTCTGGAAGACTCTTTCTTACACTCAGAATTTCGCTTTGGCCTCAGCCTGGGTACACCAACTAGCATTCTTCTTGTGCCTTCTCAGTCATCCTTACCATGCTGTGAGTTTCTAAATGGGCAGTGAGAGTAAGAGCAAGCCAGGAGGTGCTTCGCTTTCCCTTGTTCCACGAGGTCAGGGGCTGAAGATTTCAGAGGCAGAAGCTCAAGTTGAGATCATCTGACCTGAGAGGGTGTGGAGCTGCCCCAGGGAAAGAACCCCCCCAAGTCAAGGCTGAGCTCAGTGCTGGACATGGGTTTTCACCCCAGAAAAGCTTGGAGACCACGTGGAAGAAGGTTTGCTGGGAGTGGGGAGTTCAAGCAGGAGTGAGCTCCCATTAGTTGTCAAGGGAGGCCTGGCTTCAAATGCTGGGTGGTTTTCAAGAGGCCCTAATATGGTTCTGTTCAAGATGGATTATGTTAGCCATGGTGTGTCTATTAGATGCTGTACTAAATTTACAAATGGAATTTCATATTTAGTAAATTAAAAATCTGGAATGAAAAACTGTAATGTAAAATGCACTTATTTGTAAATACCGGAAGTTTCAGAATTCAGTTAATGTGTGATTTCAGAAAGAGAAATTTGGGTTTCCTTTTTTAAAGCATTATACCTTTGGTTCCAGGGTGCTTGCTCAGGTAAAGGAAAGGTACACCATGCATTGTGGCAGCTGGCAAATCGCATTTGTTGAACCAGCGGCACGTCAGCCCCCAGTAGCGTCACACTGTTAAGATCTACACACACACACGGAAATTGGTTGAACATACGTGTCATTCACAAAGTAGAGGAGAAAAGCTGAATTACCAAGCTAAAAATAAGTGTCATTTCCATTTTATGATGACAAGAGAAAAATGAATGTTTAAAATTTCTTAAATTAGTGCCTACTTTTTAAGAAAACTTATGCCAGACTTTATAATTTGTGTTTATGAATGAATATTTTCCTTCTAGGGCATGTTGCTAAAGCGGAGCGGCAAATCGCTGAACAAGGAGTGGAAAAAGAAATACGTCACCCTGTGTGACAATGGCGTGCTGACCTACCATCCAAGTTTACATGTGAGTGTGGCCCCTTGGCGCAGGTGGCAGGCCTGGAGTTAAGCTCGCACACTGTGTGTGTGGCGGGGGGTGGGGGTCCTAAGCATCAGGACTCTTGTCTCTGAAGTTAAAGTAGTCTTGGGTCTTCTGCTCCATCATGAGGTAAATCATACGCTCCTCACTCTCCATCAGACCATGTGTCTCTCCCTTCCCCTCTCTGTCACCCAGCTCTGGTTCTCTAATTCTGCAAGGACTTACAATAAAGGGGACAGATAAAGTAAAGTAAAAATAAAGTAAAAATTTCAGTGAAAGTGAAAAGATAAGAGCAGGTAGCAGGAGAGAGAAAAAAGCGAGCATATACCTGAGAATCTAGAACAAAATCTGAATAATTGCATCAGAACCCCGCATTCTGCTCTGAGCAGCTGAGAAAAACAAGAAAGTTAAAAGTAGTTTATAACTCAGGTTCTATCGTCAGATAAGAACCACAAATCTGTAAGGTAAGAGCTTTTCTGCATGTGTTAATAAAATGAGATATGTTGGTGATTTATAGAAGATAGATTAAAAGGCAGAATTAATTTTATTTTGGGGGGGAAATGTAGAGGACATTCTACTCATCCTGAGTTGTCTTAGGAAGCCTGATAAAATCTGAAAATGGGGTGTAATGACAGTTCTCTAACAACATATTCCGTGAGTCTTGCTAGGTATTTATAGGTCTTGATGTAGATAGATATGTAGATCAGAATATATAGTGGTAGCTGCTCAGCTGATTGTATCACTATGGTAAGCTTTTAATTTAAAGATGTCTAAATATTTTTTTTAAAGATTTTATTTATTTATTTGACAGACAGAGATCACAAGTAGGCAGAGAGAGAGGAGGAAGCAGGCTCCCTGCTGAGCAGAGAGCCCAATGCGGGGCTCAATCCCAAGATCCTGGGATCATGATCCGAGCCAAAGGCAGAGGCTTTAACCCACTGAGCCACCCAGGTGCCCCTAAAGATGTCTAAATACTTCAAAAATTACAGTTACGAACAAGAAGTTACACACAAGAATACTAAAGAAAATTAAAATCGTTCCCACAGTACCACCTGGGGAACAGGACTGCTGGCATTTCGGGGCATGTGCTCCCAGCCATTTCTGAGCATCGGTGCTTTTTCCTCCCATGAGCACGTGGTCACCCTGTACGCTCTGTCTGTGCCCGCTTCTGTAGATGATGACAGATCATGTGCCCTGCCCGTGCCCACGAATACGCTTGTGTGCTGCCATTATTGATAGTGACATGACAGTCATGGTGCAGATATGCCCTGATTGGTGTAACGATGTCTCCAAAATGGACGTTTGGCAAATAAATTTACTTTGAATTATTTTTAATGTTTTAAGTAACTAATCAGTGTCCTCTATTGACATCCCTGTGCCCTTCTCCATTTCCCTGGGACCATTTCCTAGCAGTCACTTCCGGAGTTGAAGAGTGCTGATGCTCTCATGGCTTTGGGTATATGTTGCCGGATTCTTGGAAAGAGTGTATCAGTTTTTCTCCACCAGCAACATACCAGAGGGCTTATACCTATATTCCCATGAACATTCACCTTCAGAATAACATATCTGTCATTTTCCAATATAATAGGTAACAAGTGGTACCCTTACTGTTTCGTTTGCTTCCTGGGGTGAATTGCCCTTCTTCTCCGAGTCCTCCAGCAGTGGCTTTCCCCTTCAGAACCATGTTATGAAACAGGTGTTTCGTTAAGTGTCCCTGACTTATTCTGACGTTGATGGGAATGCCTCCCATGCTTTACCAATAAGTAGACTCCTGAGATGTCAGTACTTAATTGTACTGAGGAAACTCCTCTGTGCTTGATTTATTTTGGCTGATTTGGGAATAGAGTCAGGTCGCTTCTCTAAGAAGCCTGCGTGTGGCTGTTCCTGCATCACCTGCAGCCCACTCTCAGCCTCCATCAGAACACCAAAGCAGTGTGGGCTCATCGCTGTGTTCTCTTCCCAGCACTGCCCTGTCAGCTGCCGTCTCACTGGCTCATGTCCTCTTCCTCTTAAGACCACGTCAGGGAGCATAGGTCGAATTATTGACCCAGTTGCTTTGTGTAATCAAAATACTCTTCATGCTCTAAGACTCACTGACCAGGAAGAAGTGGGGTCTGACTGATGAGCATTTCGGGCCACCTTACACTCATCTGTTAAGCCCAGGCTTGATCGGAGAGACATCTGTTTCTTCTTGCCAAGGGAAAAAGGCATGAACATCAGTATGTCCCAGAAAGTTCCTGTAGGAAAGATAATGCCTACTAACTTCCTGTCCCAGCCCCTCAATTAATAGAATCACAATCAGTTCTTCCAAAATTCTTCCACAGGAGTTTCTTCTTGTGATGCCCCTCAGTGCTTCCCAGTTCCTTTACACACACACGTGCGTTTGCACACACATGCATGGACATCGTCAGAGCACAGAAAAAGGAGCACAGCGGGGCTTTGCTATATAATTATACGGCAGGCAAGAGCCAATATCATTGTAAAGTGCAGTTCAGTGAATGCCAGTCTCCTGGGAACTGAAATTACTGAAGCAGGTACGTGCCCACCCCCCCCACCCCCGCAAAGGAGTGGTGTAGTCTAGAGATAGATTTTAATTACCAGAACACAGAGAGGTGGTGTGGCCTTCACTATAATCCTCCTTTGACTTTATTTCCACAACCAAGCTTTGGATGGAAGTTCGGAGAAGTGAGGTCCAGGTACACGTTCTCTTCCAAGATAGAGAGCTGCAGATCCCCAACCACAGAGTTAGTCTGGCATTCTTTGGCTCAAAATGGAAAGACTCGTCAAAGGGATGCCCATGGGCAGAATCCAGATTTGTTTTAGTGATAAATCCAGAAGCATGCAAATGTGTTGCAAATTTATGTCTTAAAATTCTACACCATGAAGACTGTCCTAATTATTTTAGTCCAGGAAATTTCAAATGGTGATAGAACCCAATGATATCAGTTAAACTGATTGCACTGTGACACCCACTTCCTGGTGGTCTCTGGGCTGTGTTATGGCTGGAAATCCTTGAGGGTGCATTTGTTGTGAGTGCTTAAATACTGGGGAAATCCGCCCAGGTTAGTGGCTTTGGGTTTCATTACTGTTGGTCATCACTGTTAATGGCCGTCTGTGGTGATCCAAAATAGCATAGCCTACAGCCCGTGTCTCTCCAGGGAGTGAAGGGAAATAAACCTGGCTAAATAGTCTGGTATTTGTAGATAGTTTTCCACAAAGACTGACTGTATCTCAGTAGTGGAGTAACGGGGCCAGCTGCTGGTGCCTACCACTAATTTTCAATGATTAGATAGTGTATTTACCAAAAAGAAACGTGGTGTGCTTTTCTGAGGATGGGAGTCTAATAATGTAATGATTCTGTAACAGGGTGAGCACTGTAGGATTGAGCACGCAGTACTTGAGAAGGCAAGAAACACATAGCATTGGAACAGATTCTGGTCAGAGCCACACAGCAGCCCCTTCCAAACCAGTGTTGCCACGTGGCTCTCATCATGGGCACAAATGTGAATTTCTTGTGCACGTGTGTGCTGCTCATGGTCCCCCTCAGGCTGGACCCTGATTCCACCACGAGCCACCTTCAGCTTGGTGATCCTGCTGGACCCAGGGAGCTCAGCCCGGTTCTTGCACATAGGGCAGAGTAAGGGATCGAATCAAGTGTAGAGGGAAAATAGACTGGCATTACAAGGGCCCTTCATCATTTCATTCAAAGTTGAGATTGCCTGGGAGTATCGGCCACTAGCAGAATGCCACCGAAATTGGAGGGCCCCGTCCAGGAGGCTGATCCAGATGCCTCCGGTGTTCATTAGCTAAATGGGATTCCCGGCTGAGCTCCCCAGCAAGCGCTCCCGGACAGACAGGCCAGGGCAAGAGGGTGTCAGAACAGGTATAGAGCGTGCTGCCCCCATAAGCCTCTCCCTTACCCACTCTTGCTGAATCGATGCCTTGGCTCCTGCAGCCCCCGGGCAGTGCAGATCTCCTGAGACCTTTGCTTGGAAAAGATGCTGGAGCAGCAGCAGATTCCAGCTTTAGTTTACCTTGGGTGCTGTGGAAGCGGAAGACTGACCATTTCCTAAATTTGCCAGCAAAAAAAAAAAATCTTGGAAGTTTTCAAATGTCTTCCTTGGATGTGCTCAAAGTAAAGAAGGTTTCCCGGAGAGAGGAATTGTGATCCTTTAAGAGACCAGTACGGGGGCGCCTGGGTGGCTCAGTGGGTTAAGCCGCTGCCTTCGGCTCGGGTCATGATCTCAGAGTCCTGGGATCGAGCCCCGCATCAGGCTCTCTGCTCTCTAGGGGAGCCTGCTTCCCCCTCTCTCTCTCTCCCTGCCTCTCCCCTTCGCTGAAACCACCATCAAAAAAAAAAAAAAAAAATATAAAAAAAAAAAAAAAAAAAAAAAAAAAGAGACCAGTACGTTTTTCTTATTACACAGGTGTCCATGGCCGTGTTTGTGTAAATGATCGTCCTTCAGACACCCCAAATTTCAATCCCAAGCATAAGTTTTCTGTACATTGCTGTGATTGAAAACAGCCTCTTGACAACCCAGACCATGGCTCATGGCCCCAGCGGCGGGCCGGGCTCCGGGCTCCCAGTGGAGTGCCACGCACTTTGAAATGGCGGTTTCAGAATCAGGCTGCTGGGCATGAGCTAGGGGACCCGGCTTTGCGGCACACAGTAGGGTTGGCGTGAGGCCGGCAGGCTCGCCACATGCTTGGAATGGGTTGGCTGCCAGGGACACTCCCAGAGCTGGCCTCTGAGGACGGCCCGCCTCTCAGAACTTGGAGGACCTCCACTGGATGATGGCCTCAGGGTGTCAGTTCCCACTGGTTCTATTGCTCCCGATCCCTCTTCCTTCCCTCCCATCCTTTCCCAGCCCCATCTTCTTCTGAGGCTTCATTCTTCCCAGGTTGGTGGCTTCATCCCCAGCAGCATCCGTAGTTCATCCTGAGCCCCAAGCACAGGCGCAGATGAGTTAGGGACCAGCCGTCCTCAG